GTTCCCTATCACCTTACCACCTTCCAAGTGTTTGCAGAAGATTTCCTGTGGACAAATGTGGACAAATACTGAGGTTTCAGTTTCTCCAGCCGTTCCTGGGGATCATTTTCTTTGATAAAGTTTTCATGCATCTCCTGGAATGCATGGGCCGCCTCCCCCAAAATATGAAGTTTCAGCTCAACTTCAAAGCAAGCATTAGTGTGAAGGTTTGGCACATTCTCCTGCTGAAGCCTCTTGTTGATCATCTGCAGCAGTTCTCTGCCATAGGTCTCATCATAATCCGCTTTGGAATTCACCTTCTCTTCGATATAACGGTGGCACTTGTCCATTAAAGAACGAGCAAATTCCTCTACTTTGTGCCAGTCTTCCTGTGTGACCGATTCTCTCATGTCCCTGAAACACGTTAAATCCAAATACTCATTGTCCACAGTGAAAGATTTAATCCTGTAACTGCACAAATTTCCTGCTTCCTGAAGTTTCTGCCTGACTGTGCTCCCTCGATTCTCTAGGTCCTTTCTCAGTTGGAACTCTAGATCTTGGGAAACCTGGCGTTTCTGTAAACTAATGAGCTTTAACTCAGACACTGCTTCCTTCCACATCGTTTCAAACTCTACTTCCAGTTCCTTCTTCTCCAGTGTAAGTTTTCTTCTCTTGCAATCTTCCAGAAGGCTGACGACTTTCTTTTCTGTCATTCTCTTGTAGGTGGCCTGTATATTGTCTATCTTATGCCAGCTTTTTGTAATAAGAATCGCATCTTCACACTTGCTGGCTGAGTAATGTTCCAGTTGCGTCTTGAGTCTCTTTGTGCTTCTGATAAAATCTTCTCTGTACTTTTCTATCAGGTGTCGGTTTCTAGCTCCACTTTCAAAGTATCTCTGTAAACACTTCACAATCCTCTTTTCCCCTTGCTGCAGTTTTTCCTGCGCCTCCTGTTTAAAGTTCCTGGCATCAGGTAGTTCATTACATGGCTGGTTCTGAATCGCCGTTTCTTGGTCACATACCCAGAGATGCATCTCCTTGCGGAGCTCCCACTCCCACTCCGAATACCTCAGACACAGCTGGTTATAGGCCTCAGCTACCATGCTGTTTCTGAAGCTGAAGATGAAGTTCTCGTGTTTCACAGCGTTCCACAGACTCTTCACCCACTTGGTAAACAGGGGGATGTCCCTGGGGTTTCTGTTAGGTGTCCGGCTTCTCATAAAGTCAAGCAAGTATTTCTTTAGCTCATAAACACTCTCACTGTACCCCAGGTTCACTGGCGCCATGGGCGGGACTCCCTGCCACAAACCAGGGATGTACCAGTTGTGTTTTTCCGGATCATACGCCATAATATCAGAAAAAGTCAGATCCCTGCTTAGTTTTTCCATCCTTGCTGCAGCTTTGGTCATTTCATTGAGATGTTCCAGGAAATGATTCCT